GAGAGAGAAAGGAGGCAGTGGCAGGACAGGACTTTTCTTAGGAGGCCTGATCCCAGAGAAGAGCTCCCCAAAGTTCTGTTCCATGTTTTCCAGTTCACATTTCACAGACTTACACTGACCTCTTCAAAGAGCAGCTATTTCACGCATCTGTTTCTTTAGCCACGTGATTTCTAAGGGAAGGATTATCTTCAGTGAGGAGAAAATAGAACTTTAGGATGTGGTCAACATTTAGCAAGGTCAGGGATATAAGATGTGTCTTGAGATTTTTTTGGATATCTAAGGCAATCTATAGCCCAGCATTCAGTCCTGGCTGGATCCTGAATTGGTTACAAGTTGAAAGAGACAGGAAAAAGAACCCACATTCAATCCAGGAAGGAAAATGGTATGGAAACAGAGAAAGGGATGAATATGTGCTCGATTTCCTAAGGCGTGTCCCCACTTAGCCCTTCTTCCTAAAGCTCAGAGCCTTACTTTAGACAAGGGGCCTAAAGAAGATAAATGGCTTTCCAGTCTCCTGTCTAATGGGCAGTCTGCCCAGGAGACCCAGAGATGAGCAAATGAGACACTCCCAAACTCTGACCTAGCAGCCAAGTGCTTCACCATTGCACCACCAGGGCTCCTGTGGTGATGCCTATGATTTACCTATACACTACTTTATAAAAGAGAAAAGAAACGCCTACTTCAGCAAATGCTTATATACAATTCTCCCCAAAGGCACTGCTGAGTCTGACATACTACCTTGCTCCAGTTTCCCACTTTCCAGCCAGCACAGGGACGGAGGTGGCATTTCTTCGCAGGGTCAGGCCTCTGAGTGGCCGCGCAGTCGGAGTCGATCTGGGTGCTGCACTGGACACTCCTCCAGTAGGCCCCGAGCCCACAAGTCGTGGAGCACTGTGGCAGGGAAGGAGAGAGGAGACAGGCTGAGAGCCGCTTTCTCAGACCGGCCCCACCACCGTTACCTGGAGGCAGAGTTCCTCAGTCACGCTGCTCACTGAGTCACCTACAAACCAAACCCACTGCTGTCAAGTCAATTCTGACTCATAGCAGCCTCATGTGTTACAAATTAGAACTGAGTAGCACAGGGTTTTCTTGGCTGTGATCTTTACAGAAGAGTAACTCCAGGCCTATGAGGTGAGTTTGAACTGGCAATCTTTTGGTTAGTCAAACTCACTGCCGTCAAGTCGATCCCAACTCACAGTGATCCCTCCTTGGGTTTCCGAGGCAGTATTACTACGGAAGTAGATTGCCCAATCTTCCTTTCCAGGAGTGGCTGGTGAGTTTGAATCGCCAGCCTTCTGGTTAGCAGTCAAGTGACTACACCACCAGAACTCCCTTTAGTTGAGCACTAAATGTGCTGTCCAAGGGACAAAATCACTTTCAGAGCTTTTAAAAATACTAGGGCCCTACCCTAAGCAAATTAGTCTAAATCTCTGGGGTGAGGGTCCAGGCATCAGTATTTAAAAAGAAAAAAAAAAATTTCCCAGGTGATTCTACTATGGCCCCAGGTTTGAGAATCACCGACTGATACATGGGAGGTAAACCCAGTGAGAATGGAAATCTGCTTCCTAAGAGAATGATACTGGCAGGAATGCCTGGGGAACGGCAATCGCAGTGTTTCCTACCAGTGCTATTCTGAGTGGATGTCAGATTCACCCATCTGCCTCTTACCTGATACCCATACAGTACTGCAGCAACATTTTTATTTGTTCATCTCCATGACAAACCTGTGACATGGGCTGGTGTTATAGAGCACAGATAAAGAAACTGAGGCTTGCCCAGCAAAGAAGATTTGGGTTTTCTGCCTCTGATGCCTGGAATTATGTCTGTGACTATACCGCACCTAAGGAGCTCTGGTGGTGTAGTGCCCAAGGCCTTTGACTGCTAACCAGAAGGCTGGTAGTTCAAACCCCACAGCCACTCCTTGGAAAGAGGATTGGGCAATCTACTTCCATGGTGATACTGCCTCAGAAACCCAAGAGGGGTCACCGAGTCAGATCGAGTTGATGGTGGTGAGTCTGGTTTTTCAGTTTTATACTGCACCTTAAACGTTAGTGCTCATAGGAATCCCCTGGGCATCTTGCTACATGCGCATTCTGATCCAGGAGGTCTGGAGTCCCGCCGGATAGTGTACATTCCTAACAAGCACCCAGGTGGTGCTGGAGGGTGCTGGTCCGCAGTCCACACTCGGAGTTAGCCAGGTGTCACGGCTTGATGCTTTTTACCACTTGGTCCACTGGTTGTGAAAAAAAATCAGTCACCTTCTTCCTTAGACATACAACCCATTTCTCTCAAGGTGTTTTCATGTACTCACGATTTTTCAATACCTCAGATTTAGCATAAAGTCACCTTGAACAATACATAAACTTTCTACCTATAATTTCTTCCATTCTACATGTGTTTTTTTTTTTTTTTTTTTTACAGTTGATATTTCCTTTTCTCTCCCAGCCTCGAGAGGAGAAGCTGCTTCTGAATATGTAAAATACAGCTGAGCTAATAAAAAAGGATAGAAGATCCACGTATGGCATTCTCTCATTTCTTTACACTTCTTGAAGAATTGGAAGTAAATGAAAACACCTTGAGAGCAATGGGTTGTATGCATATGGAAGAAGGTGATTGATTTTTCACACCAGTGGTTCAAGTCCAGAAAAGCATCAAATTGTGACACCTGGGTAACTGGGAGTTTCATTTGCTGGGTTGTAAATAGAGACCAGCCGTAAGGCATTTCTCTTGCGGAATCTTCACCCTCATTATAATTTCATGTTTCACTTTGTGCAGCTGGAGCTGTATTCAGCTATAATAGGTAGATACATTGACTACAGAGTCACAGGGAGGGGGAAGTACAACTAAGCCTAGGTTATTGTCTTTTCCTTCTGGCTCATTCATAAAGGTAATTTCTTCCTCCTCAAGTTCCTTGTTGTTAGGTGTCATCAAGTTGGCTCTGACTCATAGTGACCCAATGTACAACAGAATGAAACACTGCCCAGTCCTGCACTGTCCTCACAATCCTTGCTATGTTTGAGCTCACTGTTGCAGTCCCTGTGTCAAGCCATCTCATTGAGGGTCTTCCCCTTTTTTGTTGACTCTCTACCAAGCATGATCTCCTCCTCCAGACACAGGTTCTTTCTGACCACATGGCCAAACTTCACAAGCAGAAGCCTGGCCATTCTTGCTTCTAAGCAATATTCTGGCTGTATTTCTTAGACAGATTTGTTTGTTCTGGCAGTCCACGGTATTGTCAGTATTCTTTGCCAACACCACAATTCAAATGTACTAATGTTTCTGTGGTCTTCCTTATTCATTGTTCAGCTTTCATCTACATTAGGATTTTATTTTTACATCTCATAAGTTCCAAGCACTTTTTTATACTAAACTATGCATGCACACTTTCCAGCTATAACAGTAACATTAATAATAGCGGCAATAACAGCTGGAGAGTATTGACTACTGTCAGAATGAATGAACTGTTCATACCTCCTTAAACCCATGGCCTTTGCAATAGCCTTTGCAGCTCCTCTCATCAAGACATGGAGTCTATTTCCCCAGCTCTTGAATCAGGCCTGGCCTTGTGACTTGCTTTGGCCAAGAGAATGCGGTGGATGGTGGTGTTCCTTTGCTATACTTAGGTTTCAAGAGGCTTTGCTTATTTCTTGTCTCTCTTTGACCCTGCCTATGTCATGAGAACAGGCCCAGGTTAGAATGCTGGAGGATGAGAGATGACATGAAACAGAGTTGCTGCACTCCAGCCATGCCATCTGTCCCTCATGTGGCCCAGTTGTTGCTGGGGTCTCTGGTATATGGTTCAGGGTGGCCATGGGCACCCCAGGACCAGCTGCAGTTCCATATGGGGCTAGGGGCATCAGAAGCACTGCCTATATTTTCAAAATAGTCTTAAATGCAAAATATCAGTTAATAAGATAGTCACTAAATGAGGAGTAGTGCACAGCATGGAGGAAAATGTGACATTTGCCTGGACCTAGGTAAGGAGCTGGAAGGAAGATTGGGCAATCTACTTCCATAGTGATACCACCTTGGAAACCCAAGGAGGGGTCACTATGAGTCAGATCTAACTTGACAGCAGCAAGTTAGTTAGTTAGTTAGGTAAGGAGCTAGTGAGACCCAGGAGATAGTCTTGAATTCCCAGGGTTGGGATAATCCTGGTGAATTTCAAGTGATGTCCGTAGCTCTTTGTATCATATTTAGGTCACAAATAAATGGAGTCTCTGGGGCTCATATCTATTCCTACTCAGGAACAGACATTTGCTTAATTCTCTTTGACAGTTTCTATTTAGCAGCAGAGAATAATGTAAAGGTAAAGCTGATAAGAAGAAGTCCATGGAATGCAGTAAAAGTAAAATGGGATTCTGAAGATTGGCATTTATATTAAATTAGTTCTAATTTGGGAATGACATGGGGAGAGAAGGGAGGTCCCTAAGGAGGTTGAGGGACAACTTCACTTTGTCCTGGAAACTTTCATCCTTGTGACAGCTGGTGACCCTGCAGCAACTGATTGGCTAAGTCAAGGAGCAGGTGTCAGGGTGCTGAGAACCGGAATGTTGAGGGCTGCATCAGCATAATGTGGAAACTGCTCTGAAAAGCTGTGGAGAATTATGTTGTCACTTCCATTCTGCACAATGACACAGCCTACATTGAACTGATCTACGGGGTCTGACTGAATGATGAGACAATTCAATGAGAAGTGATTTTCTCTCAAATTTTGAGCTACATCCATGTACCATAAATAGTATCTATGTTTTCTGTTTTTTTCAATGAATATTTACACTTACTCAGGACTTCCTATGTACCTAACACAGTGAGTACCTTCCATGTAGCTGTTTATTTTATCTCATAACAATCTTATCAATCAGACATTAGCATCATGCCCATTTTACAGATGAAGATACTGAGGCAGAGTGAGCTTAAGCACTTTGCTCAAGGACTTACAGCTATTATAATTCAGATATTATTACCATCCCCATTTTACAGATGAGGACACTTCCTATGAGTCAGGCATTATCATCATCCTCATTTTACAGATGAGGAAACTGAGGCACAGTGAGGCTAAGCACATTATTCAAGGACATACAGTTAGCATGACCAAGCTAGGATTTAATCCAGAAACTCTGGCTTTCAACTCTGTGTCTATTTATAGTTCAATTTAGTTGTTTTTTTTTTTTTTTTTTTTTTTACATCAGTTCATTAATTTTTGAAGTCACACTTAGAGGAAGGGCTGTGAACAGTGGGGAATATACATAGCCATAGCAGAGATTCAGATCAACCTCCAAGGAACTTTAGAGATTACTTCCTACTTAAGGGATCAAGGTTTATGGAAGAGGAAATGTGATCCTGAAGAAGGTAGAATTTAAAAGGGCAAAGGAGGAGTGGAAGGAAATTCTAGGCAGAAGAAACAGCTCGAACAAAGGCAGTGGAATGTGAGGGGCAGAACATTTAGCACAAACTGAACAGATTAGATTTGTTGAAGTTTAAGGACAGATGAAGAAAAACAGTACAGTAAGGCTTGAAAGCTGGATTATGTAAAGTTTATAGGTCACTGGATGTTAAGTAGAGTGGATTTTATTTGATCTGGCATGTAATCAGGAGCTCTGGTGGTATAGTGGTTAAGGCATTTTGTTGCTAACCAAAACGTTGGTGGTTCGAACCCATCAGCTGCTCCATGGAAGAAAGATGAGGCAGTCTACTTCTGCAAAGATTTACAGTGGGGATGAGTCAGAATCAACATAACGGCAGTGAGTTTGGTTTGGTTTCGCATATAATCAGAGACATTAAAGACTTTCGAGCAAGAGGCTGGCGTGATCAGAACAGTCCTCTGGAAGACTGATTTTTCAGTCTTAACATCTCTTGCAATGGTATGTGGGCTGGATTAGAGAGAGAGG